ATGCAGTCGAACTCATGAACGACAGCCTCTACGACTGGAATGTGAAGCTCCTGAAGTAAGTTTCTCGTTTCGCTGGGTTTATCCGCTCTCTGTGCCCGTCCGTCTCCGCATGGAAGCCCCTTAACCGAGCGATAAAACCCTTTGAAAATGAAGACAGGTCGAACACAGGTGGTTCCTCGACATACAACGCTTTGCTTAGCGCCCGTTGAAACCCGAGAGAGAGTAAATGCAGGCCACAGGTAGCCCTCGACTTACAACAACGGTTCGTTTAGCGACTGTACAAATTTACGATGTGAAAAAAAAAGTGATTTATGGCTGTTTTTCCACACCTGCATCCCCCCCCTCCACCCCCCGTGGTCACGCGATCAAAATTCAGGTGTTTGGCAACTGACTCGTATTTATGACGGTTGCAGTGATCCCCTTTTAGCAACCTTCTGGCAAGCCGAGTCAATGGGAGAGCCGGATTCGTTGGACCACCGTGTTACCGATTTAACGGCCGTGGCGATTCACTTAACAACGGTGGCAAGAATGGTGGTGGAAGGCGGGAGCAACAACTCGCTCCACAAATGTCTCTTTTAGCAACGGAAATGTTGGGCTTAATTGGGGTCGTAAGCCGAGGACGACCTGGAGGTGATTCTAATTGCTTCCTGGACCCCGGAACCTGTTTTTGTCTCTCTTTTCCCCTCCCCGCTGCAGGGTGGACGAGGACAGCGCCTTGCACAGTGACCTGCAGATCCTGAAAGAGAAAGAAGGGGCGGATTTCATTCTTCTCAACTTCACGTTTAAGGTCAGTCTGGACGGACGACGGCCCCGGGGCGCAAACAGAACCAGCGGCCCTTCTTGCTCAGTTCCCCCACCTCCCCCATCTCACCCTTCTCTTTGCAGGATAACTTCCCCTTCGACCCCCCCTTCGTAAGAGTGGTGTCGCCCGTACTCTCCGGAGGGTGAGTCTCTCGCGTTGACGTTGGGCCGATCGCCAGGAGACTGGGAGTTCTAGTCCTGTCTTAGGCATGAAAGCCAGCTGGGTGACTTTGGGCCAATCACCAGGAGACGGGGAGTTCTAGTCCTGACTTTAGCAAGAAAGCCACCTGGGTGTTTGTGAGCCTTAGGCATGAAAGCTGACTGGGTGACTTTGGGTTGATCGCCAGGAGACTGGGAATTCTAGTCCTGCCTTAGGCATGAAAGCTGACTGGGTGACTTTGGGTCGATCGCCAGGAGACGGGGAGTTCTAGTTCCACTTTAAGCAGGAAAGCCAACTGGGTGACTGGGCCAATCACCAGGAGACAGGGAGTTCTAGTCCCACCTGAGGCATGAAAACCGGCTGTGTGTCTTTGGGCCAATCACCAGGAGACTGGGAATTCTAGTACCGCCTTAGGCATGAAAGGCAGCTGGGTGACTTTGGGCCAATCACCAGGAGACGGGGAGTTCTAGTCCTGACTTAAGCAAGAAAGCCAACTGGGTGGTTGTGAGTTCTACTCCTGCCTTAGGTAGGAAAGCCAACTGGGGGGACTGGACCAATCACCAGAGAGTGGGAGTTCTAGTCCTGCCTTAGGCATGAAAACCAGCTGGGTGACTTGGAACTAATCCCCAGGGGACTTGGGAGTTCTAGTCCGTCCTCCTTTCTCAGCCTAGCCCACCTCCCAGTTTCTTATCAACAAAACTCCCAAGCGGGGGATAAATACAAATCAATCAATCGAAACAACAACCCCAAAAGGCCTAGTCTCCAGCCTGGGGTCTCTAAAGGCAGCCTAGCCATAAATAGATCATTTCCCTCCCTCTTTAAATCTGCTGGGTTCTTTTAGGGATCTTGGGTTTGTCTCTCTCTCTCTTTTCCAATCTCCCTCCCTCCCTCTCTCTCTCTCTCCCGGTACGTCTTGGGAGGAGGAGCCATCTGCATGGAGCTTCTGACCAAGCAGGTGAGGGGGTGTGTGCATATCCTCACCTCTGGTTGGGGAAAACCCCTCCCTCTCACCAGGGTGACCCCTCCTCCTCTTTCTCCTCCTCTTCCGCAGGGCTGGAGCAGCGCCTACTCGGTGGAGTCGGTCATCATGCAGATCAGCGCCACCCTGGTCAAAGGCAAAGCCAGAGTGCAGTTTGGCGCAAACAAAGTACGTGGCGGCAGAGTATCTTCCTTTCCTCCCTCTTCTTCCTTCCTTCCTTCCTTCTTTCCTTCCCTATCTCTGTATCTACCCATCCATCCATCCCCTCTCATTTATCAATCACGATTTCCATCCATCCTATCTTATCTATTATCCCCTTCCTTCCTGCTTTGCCATCTTTCTCAATTTTCTTCCG